TTTGCTGAAAATTTGCACAAAAGTTCAAATTAACATGACGAACAGTAATCACGGTTGACCCGTTACATTCCGAACATTTCAATTAAAATGAACAGGTCTAAATGGTCACACTTCGCCAACATCGTAGTCTCCGAAGGGTCAGCAGGTCACCTTCCACTTGGTCGATCCACCTTGCCCGTTGCGCACCTCTTCTTCTTGTTCCTGTTGGGTCGCTTTCTAGAACCATTTTCACTGGGTTGTCGTGCGACATTCTTACGACATGCCCAGCCCACCGTAGTCGCCCAACTTTTGCAATGTGGACGATGGATGGTTCTCCCAGCAGCTGGTGCAATTCGTGGTTCATTCGCCTCCTCCACGTTCCCGTCATCCATCTGCACTCCACCGTAGATGGTACGCAACACCTTCCGTTCGAAAACACCAAGGGCGCGTTGGTCCTCCACGAGCATAGTTCAGGACTCATGGCCGTAGAGGACCACGGGTCTAATCAGCGTCTTGCAGACAGTTAACTTCGTGCGGCGGCGAATTTTATTCGACCGGAGCGTCCTCAGGAGTCCAAAGTAAGCACGATTCCCTGCCATAATGCGACTATGAATTTCTCTACTGGTATCATTTTCGGCGGTCACCAGTGAGCCCAAATAAACGAACTCATCGACTACCTCGACTTCGTCACCATCAATCTGAACTCGAGGTGGGAGGCTAACATTGTCGTCCCTAGAACCTCTTCCTTTCATGTATTTTGTCTTTGATGCGTTGATGGCAAGTCCAATCCGCCTAGCTTCAGCCTTGAGTCTGATGTACGATTCCACCATTGTCTCAAAGTTCCGTGCCATGATGTCAATGTCATCGGCAAAGCAAAGAAGCTGGATGGATTTCCTGAAGATCGTGCCACTCGTGTCTATCCAAGCTCTTCTGATCACACCTTCTAACGCGATGTTGAATAGCAGACACGAAAGTCTATCACCTTCGAGATTCAAAGGGACTCGAGAGTGTCCCCGATACTCAAACAACGCACATCACTCGATCCATCGTCGCCTTGACCAATCGCGTCAGATTATCCGGAAATTCGTACTCGTGCATAATCTGCCATAGCTGACCTCGATCGATTTTGTCGTATGCGGATTTGAAATCGATGAACAAATGATGTGTGGGCACGTTGTATTCGCGACATTTCTGCAGAACCTGCCGAATCGCGAAAATTTGGTCCGTGGTAGCGCGAGCACCCATGAATCCCGCCTGGTATTGCCCGACGAACTCTGTTGTAAATGATGCCTGGCGGCGGCATAGAATTTGGGAGAGTACCTTGTAGATGGCGCTCCGCAGTGTGCTCGCGTGGTAGTTGCAGCAATCCAACTTGTCGCCTTTTTTTGTAGATTGGGCATACGACACCTTCCATCCACTCCTCCCAAAACTTGGCAATTACCCAGAGCAGCGCTCCAGCCAGTGCTTCACCACCGTATTTTAATAGCTCACTTGGTAATTGATCTACACCAGTTGCTTTGTTGTTCTTCAGCCGACCGATCTCCACACACTAAGATTTTTTACAGGAGTCAGTATTTTTTTACTGGGTTTTTGAATTACTGAAAAAGTCGGTAAAAATTCAAATGACCGTTATCCGTAAGGAATCAATGAAATCGACCAATTTAATTTTCTATCATTAAATGGGGTTAACAGAAATAAGTATGTACAAGTTCAGAACAAATTTTCTCATTAATAAATTTTCCACAGATTTTTAAAATTTTACCGAACAGTTCCGCAATTCAAAAACTCGGTAAAACCGTACTGACTCGATTAGTGTGCACCTCAACTTCTTGAAGATACGGGGCCGGTAGCCTGTCGTCTTCTGCGCGTGCTCCAAGGTCTGTTGCCGTGCCACCTTCGTTTCATGCTACATTACCGTTGAGGTGCTCGTTTTAGTACTGCTTCCACCTCTCAATCACCTCACACTCGTTCGTGGGAAGGTTACCGTCCAAGTCCTTGCACATATCGGCTTGCGGCACGTAGCCTTTGCGCGAACTATTTAGCTTCTCGTAGAACTTCCGTGTGTCGTTTACGCGGTACAGATTTTCCATCGTCTCGCGATCTCGGTCTTCCTGCTGACGCTTCTTCCTTCGGAAAACCGAGTTTTGTCTGTTCCGCGCTTGTCTGTATCGCTCCATATTCAATCTCGTGTGGTGTTGCAGCATTCTCGCCCGTGTTGCATTCTTCTCCTCTACTACTAGTTTGCATTCGCCGTCAAATCAGTCATTTCTTCGGCCCGGGATCGCAGTGCCACTGCAGCAGTACTACCTATGGCGGAACGGATGTCAAGAGAAGCTGCGCCAAGCTGCTCTTCCGTGGGTAGTGCAACTTCCAGCTTTCACTCTACTCAAAACTGAAATGCAGAAAAAATATAACAAAATGATACACTCTTTGCACACTGTCAAACATCATTGCACACAAAATCAACTTTGTTCAAATCAAACAAAAATACTAGCCCATCTGGTGGCTGATGGGACAAGCTTCTAAGAAAATTCTATTACAGCGAACCATATTACTTTAATCACAAACGAAGTGTATAATTTTGTCATTTTTTATGCATTTCAGTTTTGAGTAGAGTGAAAGAGATAGAACCAAAACATTCTAGTACATTTGGTGAAAATGCTATTACAATCCAGTAGTAGCAACCGGTGGAAACTAAAGATTTTAAATTGGCTCACTACTTGACTAGCCTATTGGTCCCAAGCAAATCGATTAACGCACCCCATTCTAGTCAAAATTCCTGTACTACACAATGTTTGTTTTGATTCGCTATGAAAGGTTGACAGATAAAATGAGGGGTTCGTGGATTTTCCTATGTTTCGAGGGGTGCATCGATTAGCTTGGGACCGAAGATAGTACCAGAGCTGAGCCAAAAAGTTTAGCTCGTTTCTTCGGGACCTTCTGGTCTTAGAGTTACCTCTATGGTAGTAGCATAGAGGTAACTCTAAGACCACTGGGTCCCGAAGAAAATCATTATTATTTTTGACTCACTCAGTACCAGAACAACGGTCCCAAGCAGTCCCAAGCTATTTCACTCACCCCTGCATGTTCTGCATGAATCCACACACCCCTGATGTAGAGTCGGTGTATAATGAGTCACGCCAAGAGTGAAGCCAAGTCTACCTATTGAACTGTCAAACCGGCTACCTATCGTACAAAGTAAACAAGCATTACGATGCTATGAAAGGTCCACGAAAGGTATTGCAATTAAATATAAAATATAATCGAAGAAATGATCATATACACGCAGTGAGCATTACATTTGTCATGCGATACGTTTTGTAATGATCAGTAATGACAATTTCTACTATTTTTCTTTAAGATAATTCGACAAAATCACTGATATAATGATTTACTACAGCCGTTAATTTTTTTCCTCGCTAGAAGTCATTTGAAGTTGATGCAGAAGTCCTCTGTTGCCAAGTTAAAATAAAGGGAATCTTTCAAAAACCGTGTTGCGAGTTCAACTGTTTTTCTCTTGGCGTGACTCATTATACACCGACTCTACCCTGATGTTATCTGTCAAACTTTCATAGCGAATCAAAACAAACATAGTGTAGTAATAGAATTTCAACTAGAATAGGGTACGTTAATCGTTTGCTTGGCACCAATAGGCTACTAAAGTGGTGAGCCAATTTAAAATCGTTAGTTTCGTATTGATTGTTGGTAGTAGTGTTGCCATGTGGTACACTGAAAAATTGCAAAAGCAGGTTCGTTACTGGGGGGAGGTGACTGTCAAATACGAACAATCGTTGCCTACCTCGCATAACTGGTTCCAAACGACAACAAAGCCATAAGCAACGATGGTTTGTTTATGTTTGGAACCACACAATTTACATAGAGAAAATCAATGAGCATAAACAGGTGAGGCCCAGTATATTTGTCGTCTCTTTCATTCTCCAGCTGATAAAATGGATGACGAAGTTTGACGTCATACTCCTTCAACCGTTTGAACAGCAGGAGAACGAAAGAGATGACAAACTCAATAAGCCTTACACATTTGCATCTCATTGATGGATTTTCAGTAGGCCGATTTGGCTGCACATCCCGCCCCTGGTTCGTTACAAAAGTTTTCGAGCCGCTCAGTCTGTCACATCGTTTGTGGCGGTAGTGAGAAGATGTCAACAAAGGCAAGAAAGTCCATATTTTTCAAGAAAAAATACTTGAAATTTTAAAGTAATCGAGTCCGCACTACTCAGATTGCAATTCCGCTTTTTTTTTTAATAGATCCTATGTTTATTTGTCGTTCAAAATATCGATCAGCTTGAATCACTTTCAACCGCGAACTGAGCGGTGGATTTGCAATATTCATAGAGTAGAGTTTTCATAAAGTTACATAAGAAATTTCCCGTTTTAATTTTTCCTCTGAGATATATCCCAAATTAAAACAGAGGATCAAGCGTGTCCACTCTCCCCTACTTTCTTCCGGTGAAGGTCAGCAAAATTCACACCTTCACTTCACAGACAGCCGGATTGTTCTTTCCGTTCCAATGCATGTGCTCGATAAGCGTTCATTCCGAGAAGGCGACAGGACACGACGAAATTATTTCTGCATTTAATTTCGCATTATTAAATCCAAATGAGCGCACGTTCCGCGTACTCCACCTTTTCGCCATTCCAAGGCAAGAAGATGGCATTATCCTTTACGTGCGCTCGATGGCGAAGATGGGTAGCGAAACGAAATAAATAGGAATAAATTAATTACCATCTGGTTGCTTCAAGTGGGAGCTTTGGATAACCGTTTCCAGCCGCCGCCATCAGGACTGGTTAACGGACGAACGGAGCAATACGTGCTTCGGACGATGCTTTAGCTTCTGGTTAAAAATTATCGCTTCGCTTCCAATTGCATACCATAATTAGGGGTAATTAACTTGGTCATTTTATCGTTTATCACGATGCTGCTTGGCCCCGGAATCGTTTGGCAACGATAGCTAAAATTTGATCTCAACCGTGCGCCTCCATTGAATTTCATGCTTTTACAGTTGGCACGAGATCGGCACCGGAGACCTGCCCGCCATCATCGACTACATTTTGCTGCAAACGAACCAGCGGAAGTTGTCCTTTGTCGGCCACAACCAAGGCGTAACGGCCCTGCTGGCGCTGCTTTCGGAGAAACCTAAATACAATCGCAAAATTACCATCGCTACCGGAATGGCCCCGATTGCCTATCTCGGCAACGGAAACAATCCAATCGTGAAGAGTCTGGCCAAATTCAACGATCAACTTTGGGTTAGCTTTAACCTCCATTCAATCCATTAGAAAGTTCTCATCACATTCTCCACACAGGTGACGCTCAGCTCGTTGAATATATTCGAGCTTACGCCGACGGAGAATGTTCTCCAATTCATCGGAAACATCATCTGTTCTGGAGATGCACCGACCCGGCAAGTCTGCACCGATTTGCTCGCAGAAATGTTCGGCTACTCATCAGAACAGGCCAAACTGTTGCTGCCCGGATTGCTGGACAATGCCCTGAGCGGGATTTCCACGAAACAGCTAGTACACTACGGACAATTGATTCAATCAAGTAAGTGGAACTCAAACAATCTCAGTCAACAATATCGATCCAAATTAATAAAAAATAACATTTCTAGGAAGATTTCAACAGTTTGATTACAAGAATTTTTTGACCAACATGCAGCGCTACAAACAGGCCAAACCATCGGAGTACAGTTTTGCCAAGGTGACCGTTCCGTTCACTTTGTTCTACGGTAGCAAAGACTTTTTGACTTCATCGGCGGTAATTATGAAATTGATTTTATTTAAAACAATTACATGCAGTATTTTGTCTCGGTTATTCAGGACTTTCAAAAACTAATTAAAAACCTGCCGAACGTTAAATCACAAATTGAGCTACCCGGGTGGAGCCACATGGATTTCATATACAACGCACAGGTGTACCTGAAAGTGTATGGCAAAATAATTGATGCAATGCGGAACGTAACCACATGAAATCTCTGTAAACCCTTTATTCCTAGTTCCAGATGAATGCCTTGTTCGCCAAACTAATAGCGAATTCGTTTATTATTCAGTTCCAACCTGGATCGGGTATCAAGATTGGGCCTGCTTGTTTTCTGACAAACGTCAGTTCAATCGTTTGTTTTTAAAACCCAGCTCAGGTTGAGGTTCGCACTGACAAAAAGTTCGGTTTCGCACTGGGTTGGAACTGGTTCCAACCCCGATAATAAACGAATTCGCTATAAGGCTGTGTTGCATAGGTTATAACTCCCTTGTCAACAAAAGTTAAGAAAAATGGCCTATTCTGCGCCGCTAGTGAGGTGAGGTGCAGGTGACTCGCTGTCACTAGGACCAAAAGTATTGTCACCTCATTTTAGGTGACTTTTCGTGCAAATGGAATGGTGGAGTCACCTCACATGAGGTGAGTATTGTCACCATACTAACAACAGCGTCAAAGTCACCTTCCCTCACTCGTGGTGCAGAATAAGCCTTTCTGTAACTATCTTTACTCCTTGCACCCATTTTCTCACTTTCGTACGAACCGTTTTTCCATACCAAATAAAAATTATGAAAAATACGGTTCGAACAAAAACAAGAGTATGGATGAAAATTCCATAAGAATCTGTCAGTCTGTGCGTGAAATGTGGCGAACTTTGTCTTATATCTTTACTCCACCGAAAAATCCCATAAGAAACTCGTTGGCGACCAAGTAGTAATCCCCGATTAGCATAGCAACCGAAGTTTTTTTTATAGCGATAAATAAAATGTTCACTTTGCAATAAAACTGTCAATAATTGCGTGGAGAGACGTCGACTCGACGGTGCTGTCAACTCTAATATACAATCAGGGTGCAAAATAAAATTGCCACGATTTTCCAGAATTTCAAAGGAAAATTTCCCGATTTTTTTAAGAAACCTTTCTTAATACGTTTCAAAATTTGCTACTTTGGGTTTCCGCCCCTCGGTGTCAAGTTAGTAAACAAAGCATGACTCTTTAGAGCGAGCGACCGTATCTTTGACCGTACCAATGAGTAAATAAGGCACATTTACCAACCTCTACCATAACGCTACTTGCGTACCGGGAGTTGCTATTTAGCACCTTGGGAAGTAGTGAGTTCATAAATTGAGCAACCAGGTAGTAACGCATCAGACGGTTGCTATTTTGAATAAACGTCAAAAGTTTGTTTTGCCGGTGTGGAAAACGGTAACTTAAATTATGACTCTGATATCAACGACCGGTGTGGAGAGGACTGATTAATCCAAAATGGAAACGCTGTGCGTAAGAAAAATAGTGCCGCAAATGGCAACGACTGGTACGGTTGCTCCGAGGGTTGCTCTTAGTAACGACAGTACAGTTCGTTTTTTCGTTACTCGTAAAGCCTAGTATACAGATCGAAGCGAAACGAAAATTGAGACACGCGAAAAATCATGAAATTTCGCTAGCGAAAAAGGTTGTGAAAAAATGTTTGTGGAACATTTTCCAGTTTCCTTTTTTCGCAGTTTATAGTTCATGTGAAACGAAATCGATCAGTTTACACCTCCGGTGAAGTGAAAATCTGACAGATACGCTCTCCCGAAACGTCAACTTTTCGCTTAGCTGCTGATCTTTTCGCGAGATGATCGTAGTGTGCTGTGCTCGAAGAAAGACATGGAAAATTTTCAGCCGTCAATTTTTGCTCCGTTTTTTCTCGACTTTTGTGAAGTTGTAATTTGATTTCGCTTATGCTCCCGCTCCAGAAATTTGTGGCATCGCGAGTGATAGTTTTTAAGTTCAGTTTATTTATGCGTTGTATGATTTTATGAGCGGTCACTTCGTGTTTGCGTCAAGGAGCAATTGACTATATTAAACCTGTGATCCCCGTAAGGCGGGTCTATGATCGGAACTACTACACCAAACGTGACAGAGCTGCTTGCAAAGGATTCACTTGGACTGATTTGGTGAGATTGTTCCTTTTTTTTTTGTATTTTACTTTTATCTATTTAAACTTAATTTCTATGAATCCGTAGCATTTGGAATCATTTGATTCGGATGAGACTTAACTTTCATCCTATGGATTTTAGACATCCTATTTTTTTTAGGAGACATCCTACTAAATACGTGACATCTACAAAGCAGGAATTGCTTTGATGATGGAAGTGTACACGCAGTACCAATATACATTTTATATCGGTAGTACGTGTATGCGGGGCGTGTTGTAAGTTCATGCATTGTTTCTTCTCATTGTAGACAGCGAATAACGAATAGCGAGCAAGGGCGCTATAACCTAGGCGAATACAGTATTCCCTCCGTATAGGTTACGTCCGCACACCGCTCTCTGTTGTCCTTCGACTGAGGTCGGCTGGATCGATTGAGGGATGGCAGTGGGTGGGCGGTGCCGTCCACGCTTGTACGGAGGGAGGACTGTACGCTCGAACACAAGGGGTAAATACCTGTGTTCCATCCCAGGAGATCGGACAACCAAGGAGTGTACATTAACTTTCTTAGCTCTGTCACTCCCAACGACTTATATAGCCTATTTTCAAATCCTGCATACGGAGCGGTTGGTACGGTATGTCCCCGCTCTTTGATTACCTGTGGATTAAATGTTAACCACTGTCTATACTTATTAAGTAGACATGGTAAACATTCACTTCCACAAAAATTAACTAAACGCTACACAGTAGGCCTGGCCGCTTTATTGTTTGTTTCACATCCTTGATGTGCAGCAGGCATTAATAATGACAAGAAAATGATAGATGTATTTCTATCATTTCCAGGATTCTTTCAAGTACTGGCTGTGTATGTGTAGACTAGACTAGACTAGACTAGCTGCTGATCTTTTCGCGAGCGCTGCAAGCGCGAAAAAAAAAATAAACGTAAGCGAAAAAGATGCGATCCACAAAATTAGATTTCGCTGGATCGTATCTGTTTACAGTTCAAAGCGAAGTGAAATATTTGCACATTGCGTTTTTCACGCAGGTGAAAAATGTAGTATTTTGTATGAGATTTTCGCTTCGCTTTGATCTCTATACAGGCCTTAAGCAGTTGAACCAGTTGAACTACGATGTTAAGCTGGGTTTAGACAAGGCAAGTCAAATGATCAACTCAGTTGAATTCAATTGGCTTGAAAAGTTGAGCCTGGTTTAACTTTTTTCAATTCAAGTGAGTTGATCAAGTCAGTTGAATGGCATGGTTTACACGTTCAATTCGCGTTCAAGTCAGTTGAATTCAACTGACTTGATCAATTGACTTGCCCTGTCTAAACCCAGCTTTAGGCGGTATTTTGCAGCTACACTGCATGTGCACCGGTAAAACGAAGTTTATTCCGCTTCCTGCGCCGTTCGTGTTTGACACTTTGCGAAACAGCAATTGGAGGAAAAACTCATGGTCGCCATGATCATGAGAAGCCTACCAAGCACGTTCAACATCCTGACTACCGCTTTGGAGAGCCGGTCGGACGAGGACCTGGAACTTGTCAAGCGGAAACTTCTGCATAAAGCCGCGAAGAAGGTTGGACAGGGCAACAGGAAGAAGAAAACGCTGGTCTGCCACTATTGCAAAAAGGCAGGCCACATGCAGAGGGAGTGTCGACAATTAATCCGGGACAACGAGAAGAAAACGAAGCCAGGAGAGCAGGGAAAGCCTTTACCGAAAAACGACGGAAATTTCGTATCGTTCGCGTTTCGGACCGGAAGATGCGAAGATGAAAATGGAGATGAAGACAAGCCTTGGATTGTGGACTCGGGCGCGAGCAGTCATACCGTCGCGAGCCGTGATTTTTTCTCGGAGCTGCATGAAAGTGACGTGAAACACGTTATACTGGGTTTAGACTAGGCAAGTCAAATGATCAACTCAGTTGAATTCAATTGGCTTGAAAAGTTGAGCCTGGTTCAACTTTTTTCAATTCAAGTGAGTTGATCAAGTCAGTTGAATGGCATGGTTTACACGTTCAATTCGCGTTCAAGTCAGTTGAATTCAACTGACTTGATCAATTGACTTGCCCTATCTAAACCCAGCTTTACACTTGCTGACGGGAAGCGGGCAATCGTCAAAGGAGAAGGACCCGGAGTGATTCAGTGCTATGATGACAAGAATAAGCAAACCGAGATGAAGCTGAGCAAGGCACTGTATACACCCACGCTGGCGATGAATCTTTTGTCTGCTCCGTCGCTAGCGCAAAATCACGCAACTGTTATTTTCGACATCAACGGTTGCCGGGTGATGCGGTGTCTGCAAACAGTCACCATGGCAACGCTCAAACAAGGTTTGTACTACTTGCTGGTTACTACTACTTGTGGTGATGGCTACGATACTGCTGTTGGGATTGAGAGCGAGCCAGACGACGTCGACGACAACGGCTGATCAATCGAGTTAATCCATAGAACGCGACGGCGATATCAATGTGAACATCGAACCACCAACTGAACTGAGACGATCCACGAGAGTCACCGGGGAATCCTGCCGAAACGTTACTCAGTGGTCACCAGGTCACCAGTATTACCACCGATGAACCCAGGAGCTATACCGATGCAATCCAATGTCCAGATGCAGAAGCGTGGTATTTCGCAATGAAGGAGGAGCTACAGTCGTTACTGGACAACCAAACACGGGAGTTAGTACCACTTCCCCCTGGAAGGAAGACCGTTGGGTGTAAGTGGGCCTTCAAGAAAAAAAACTCGATGAAAATGGCAACACAGTGCGACACAAGGCAAGGTTGGTCGCACAAGGATTAACACAAAAATATGGGACGGATTATGACGAGATATTCGCTACCGTTACTCGGCAAACTACTCTTCGTACTATCTAAACCATTGCCAGTCGGGATGACATCATAGAGGTAACTCTAAGACTAGAAGGTCCCGAAGAAACGAGCTCAACTTTTTGGCTCAGCTCTGGTACTCTCTTCGGTCCCAATTTATACTAGAATAGGGCACGTTAATCGATTTGCTTGGGACCAAAAGGCTAATCAAGTAGTGAGTCAATTTAAAATCGTTAGTTTCGTATTGATTGTTGAT